TTTTTTTAAGTTTCTCATCCTGTGTAAAGAGAATAGCTTAATATTTATACATGAAATGAAAGCTAATCATTCTACATAAAATGATGTCGATCCATACTTGTTTAGATATTTAATAATAATATATCTTCTTCACTTTTCAATTTTTATGCTTGACATTACTTTTGTTCTTGTACTTTTATTTTTTAAATAGGTAGTAGCATTAAATAAAAATGATAAATAAATCTATTACAAAATGTCATAATTAACATAAAATTATTCATTTGATATGGTACAAGCTTATATTTTATGTTCTAAAAAATTATAATTTTACCGTTTCTAAACAATCTTTTATAAAATGCTATATATTAAAATTAAACATTGCTTCTTTTTCAATGTAATGTAAAATATTAATAACGAGTTTCAATATAATGTAAAATAACAATCAACATCGATTTATTCAGAAATGAAGTTTTATATGAAAAAATATTACTCTACCCATTTTCGAGTTGTACCATCATTTTGGAGACACTTTGTATAATCATGCATGAAGTATGAATATAAAGTCCAGTCAAATTAAATCACATGTTGTACAGGTGGTTCGCAATGCAGTCTACTAAAGAAGTGGTTTCTTTATCAGTTACACCAAGTGGTTATTCTATGTTTCAAGAATTAGCAACACAGCTCAATCTGTTGCATAATACACTTGCTTTACCATTATTTCACCAGGCTTGGAAAAATTTAGCTTCACAGCTCGATCAAGTTAGACATTAATTTCATAATTATTTTGGAAACAAGTACTATATTAAGTATTTAATATAAACGAACGTTTTCTTTTTTTTATTACAGTTCCTTTTGGAAGAAGTTGTTTTGGTCAATCATTTTAATACAGGTGGAGCTGAACAATTACAATATGATATTTTTAGAAACTTGTTTCCACTATTTGGTTTATATATTAGTAAACCAGAATCATATTTTCCACTGTAAGTTACAAATGGTTGTTCTATTAAGAAAAAGAACATGAGATATTGGAACATGCAAATTTCTTAAATTAATTAAAAAAAGAGTGGCCCATTTTAATTTCCCCAGGCAAATACTTCAAAAAATATAGAAAATATGGAAAAATGTTTCAGATGAAAGATATAGGATATCATTGGGAATAGATCATGCTGATATTTAGTTGACCTTGCTGTGACCTTGAAAAGCTCTGCAGAACTGAACTTCGAAGTTTTAAATAGAAACCTATATTTTTTTATTCCACATTTTTATAGCTGACAGTTGAATGCCGTTTAAGCCTGAGAACGTAAACGCTAGCTTTGCCGTTTTGAGGCTTTCGCCTATTTCGACAGGTGGAGGGGCCGTAAATCACTGCGAAGAGTCACGCTTGTAGATATTAGATGTGGTGGTACATGCGAATGCTGACGGCATGTCAACTTTGAAAGTTCATATAAGAATAAGCAATAAGAATAAGTAATAAAAAGTATAATTTTCTATTTAAAACTTTGAAGTTATCCTCCGCAGATCTGTATAATGTACATGAACATACATCTACTAGGTTGTTCCACATGTTTGTGCCGCGATCCATTTATACACTTCACGATGTGTTTTACAAACAGAAAGCGATAAACGATTCAAATAACTACGCTTGGACGTTCGAGTTCTGTCTAGAGAAGATATTTGAGAGCAAAAGATCAATGAATAGTAAACATAGTCTTCACAGTGAAAAATCATGAGTTAAATACGTATTCATTTTCGACACCTCATCTTGTATGAGTTTCGTAAAGGAAATACAGCAATAGTTGCTACAAACAATATTTGTGTTGTTTACGAATAAGGTGTTTTATTGTCCCATACTTGTAGAAAGTACAACAGTTTGATCGCTTTCGGGAAGGAACCTTCATTCTGAAAGATCAGCCATGTTCCGGACGTCTGTCTCAAGTAGATAAAGACAGTATTCGTGATCGAAGCTGGAAATACGAATACCGCACCAGCTCACGGAACGGAACTGCCTTGACCGCGTAGCATTTTGTATATCTTTGCTTGCATGCAACATAAACGAATCATTGTTAAAGTATTTGATGACTGGGAATGAAAAGTGGATTCAATACAACTACAAAGAATGATGCTGGACCAAAAAAGAAGATCCACTACAATGATGTGTAAGATCAGATTTACATCCTCGTAAAATTTTTCTCTGTATTTGGTGGGATTATCAAGGAACTTTGCATTGTACGGTGCTCAGTTAGAGAAGTTAGAGAAACGTCCAAGATTCTTAAATCGAAACAGTGATTTTTCATTACGATAATGCAAGACCATATGTGGCATAAAACGTGCAAAAATAATTACGTAAATTCAATTAGGAAATTTTATCACATCCACCATATTCTTCGGACATTGCCCCATAAGATTACCATCTGTTTCGTGCATTACAATATTTTTTAGTGGGTAAAAGATTTGACAATATCGGCTCTATAAGAAATGACATTGAACAATATTTTAATGAAAATCTGAAGAAATTTTATAGTTATGACATAATGGCTTTGCCAGAAAGTTGGGAAGAAGTTGTGGAACGAGAGGGTGACTACATTTCTTCATAGCATTTAAAGGTATGTTTGAAATATTGGCATGTACAATAATCGGCACGAACTTATGGGACAACCTAATACATTATTGATATTTAGATAATGTATATTAGCAAGTGGATTTTAATGTTTTAGTCTGCAATTCGAAAATAGAAAATTGAAAAAGTAAAAGACTTTGTAATATTTATTAACATAAGAAATTTGTATGTTTTGATACCCTATATTGTGTAGTACTCGAAATGTTCTGTGTCTCTAATTATACAAATTATATTTCAGAATTAAAGAAGCATGCATTTTGTTAAATATTACGTTGGGTTCAGCAATGTTAGTTGTTGAAACATTTAACAACAATCAAACATTCAATAATAATGAAATAACAAGAAAGGAAATACTGGCAGATATTGGTGTTTATAAAATATCTGCTGAGCTTGCTTTAAAAATAATTGGAACAAGAACAGATATGACTTATATGTAGAAAATTTTCTTTATAGTATTTTATAAAAAATTTGATGTATTATTCAATTTTGTATATAATGCATTACGTCTTTTTTTAAATAATGGATAAATATAATACTGTAAGTAAAATTATAGAATTACATATTTAAATTTATTCATATACTTAAACTTATTTATATGTGATATTTAACAAATTAATGTTATGCCGCCATTATCTGCACCTAATAATAATAATCGATTAAGAGGAAGAACCGCCATTGTGGTAAGGAGTCCTTTAAATGTGTCAGACTTTAATTTTGATGATGAGAATGAGGCTGTTGCTACTATAGATGTGTAAACTCCAACACGATTTGCCGTTGTCCCTATTATTAATTCTTGTTCGTATGCAGACATACAATGGACTGGTTCCGTGGAGCCTCTGAAAAATAAAAATAATACAGATATATTATAAAACAAATATTTGTTTAACAAATTATAAATATTTGTAAAGTTATTACAAATACGATATCTACGGTATGTAACAGTTAGCTCTGTGAAAATAGATACATAAATGGATCAAATAAAATAATAATAACAGCAAACATTAATATATACTTGAAGTTTATTGTACTTTCACTTTACTAAAAATTTCCTAAATTGCTTATATTAATTGTACTAAATTACATTTTTATTCAAACAAAAATTCTGTTGACTGTAATATGAAGAAGAAAATGAAATATCTTTCATTAAAGCATTAAAGAAATTCAATGTACCCTAAAAATATTGATTTTTGACTTATTACATTATGGATAATAGGACATAATATTATGGAAAAAGGAAATGTTAATCTATCTTGGTTTGATAAATTTCATAACTTTAACTAGCTCCGCCGATTGTAAGATATCGAATTAGCTACGGCGTATCGTGATCATTCTAACATACACGTAACTAAATTAAAAGGTTTATAAACGTTAGGCAGATCTTAGCGATTCATTAATAAAAAATAATATTTTATCTTACTTCATATGAAATTTTAGTTTCCCATCCAATGCACTCCATACAGCAATTGTTTCGTCTAGTGAAGAACTAATTATAGTTGTTTCATTGATTGCCTCCAATTGTAATATCTGAAAAATGACAGTCAAATATTTTTAGGCATTAATATGGTAATCTTTTTCTCAAGGTAACTTACTTCACATTCATGACCCTTCCAAGATGCAATAATTAAACCAGTACGAATATCTAAAATTGTTAAAAAACCTGATGCTTGACCCAATGCTACCCAATAACCACTAGGTGCTACTGCAATACATTTAATTAAAGTTGTTGGATTTACAGATACCTAAAAGAAGAGACATCATTTCTGAAATACTTTAACTTGTGAAATACTTTACAACATTCTGTCTCATATAATACCACGTACTTTCATTTCATTTACATATTGAAATGTTCTACAATCAATAACTCTCAATGTATTATCAGCTGTGCCCACAAGTAAAGTTGTAGATGGAGAGGGACTTGCAGTCAGTGTATTTACAGGCACTGGGCGAGAGCTTTCTGGATATCCAAGGAGAGAACCCATGAAAGGATCCCAACAATGGATTGTACCATCACAAGTAACTACATATCTTAAAGATTCTAGGAATGTAAGAGCAAGAATAGTCTTTCTATGTCCAGTGTAGGTGTATTGACAAGATGAAACAGTGTTTCCATCCCCCTATTGAAAAAGTACATAACATAAATGTAAATTCTTGATATACAGTGTTTAAAAATACTTAAACATAATTTCAAAAATTAGATGGGAGGCATAAAAATAATAAAAAAGTTCTTATGAACATTTGTCCTATTTGATTTGATTTTCGAGTTATAAGCAGTTTTGTATAAATTAAGGCACAAATGTGTATTTTTTCATGTATTTGAAATTTATACTGTTTATACTAATTAGAAGGTTGAATTGTATAGTTTTAATTCTTTTTACTTTAAAAATGAAGTTATAGATTACAGAGTGATGAAATATTTTCTTTTGTTTCTATTGCTTATGCCTTGTATCATGAGAAATTTATATCTTCTAATTGCTGCATATTTTTGAAACATAAATATAATTTTACCTGACTTCTTAAACTCCACAATTTTACAGTCTTATCTCTTCCTCCACTCATGAAACTATTCTCATTATCTAATACATATAGACATCTGACACTATTAGTGTGACCACTAAAAGTTTGAAGTTTAATTTGTTTTATATTAAATGCTGTATCTTTCTCTGATCTTCCAATTTCATGTTCCCAATATGCTAACCAATTTCCTCGTAATTGCCTTCCAGTTGATGAAGAGCAACTTGCTTCACGATTAAATATTGTGCTTTCTGAAGTAACATGATCTTCAATATCAGTTTTTTGCACTGCAAATCTATTTCCCACGACTGATACATTTCCGAAATTAGATGCAACTTTATTTGTTAATTCTATACTTTCTGTTATATTACAATTATTGTATGGTATATTATACTTGTTATCATCTTTAAAATAATAAGAAAAAGTAACATTAAGTCAATTCCAGATCTCAAGTTCAATAATTACATTTGTATATGAATTAAATTTGAGAAGATTATAACATACCAACAATGGGAGTTACTTTTATTTCTTGTTCATATTTATGACATAAATCATGTATATGTTCATGATTTTTAAGTATTTGTTCCATTATTTCACTGTCTATACATTTATAAAAAAGCATATATGTTTTATGAGCAAATTCTGTTGTAAATACAGCTTTTAATTCTTCAAGTGCCTAAAAGTACATTAAAAATATTTCATAAAGTAGAGCAAATATGTATTAATTTAAAACTTATCAATAACTATTTTTAATTACCTTATTCTTTTGAGGATCAGATGCATCCATGTTTTCTGTAACAGGTGGAGAATAAGAATCAGCAACATCTGCATTAAAGTTTGTTTGAAGTCCAACAGTATCTCTATTATCTTCATTCGAAACTTTTGCCCTAGATGAATATATGTTGCTATATGTTATACTATAATTATATTAAAATACATGTTTTATTACTATCAACATTATGTACTAACATATTTTATGCCTAAAGAAGAGCAAACACTTTGGCAGAATTTAAAATCCAAGTGAAAAAGTTGTATTAGAATATGCAATTAAACAAAAACATTGTATTGAATATCTGATATTTTTATCTTTTACATCTATCTTATTTAAACAATGTATTAAAAATATCTTTTCTGTTTCTTATTTTATGATAGTTTTATTTCCATAAATGTGGCACAAAACGTGTTTATCTGTGTTTAAGTTAATTTCTGATTAAATGATTTATCAAATGCTAAGAAAAATCGTTGAATAGGTACAGCAAGATGATTTCTTGTAATGACACTTCCCAATCGTAAACTGAACATAAATAAAGTTTCCAAACATTTTTCTGCCATTATAGTACGTGCAACTACACCATTAGGGAAAGTAAATCTCGTAGATGATAATATACGAACTGTAGGATATAGTATTGATTTCACAATTGGTTCCTGTATTTAAAAACAAACTTTTTACTGAACATATACTGTTTGACATTAAGGCAATTTATATGATTTAACCATACGTGAAGCACATCCATTAAAACCACATCACTAAGGTATGATGTAATATAATTTAAGAGAGTCAAACATGAAATGAGTCCTCCTTCCAAATTTTGTGTTAATTTTCTTTTACAAAGAGCTAAAAGTTCTACCATGTGTGCAAAATACTGCAGTACTATAATTTGTTCTCCATACAGACCTGTATAAGTATGTAATTTCCTTTCATTTTTAGTAACTTCAATAATTAGTAACTGGATATTAGTATTGTTTTATACAAATAAATTAACCTGCAATGGCTGCAAGACATTCCAAAACTTTTGTAGCATTACGATCACCAATTAAAACTTTTTTATTCCAAGGAATACCTTCCATACACAGAAAAGTATAATTGATCGTCGTTAAATTTTCTTTTCCAGTGTAACATAATGTAAGCATTCTCAATAAATTTCGAGATAAATATCGAGCAGTAAGTACAGGACCAAGCCGATGAGACAACCAAATAATGGATTCGGCTCCCATTTCAGAAGTTGTACACTCATTAGATGTTGATTTTTGACAAGTGTGGTCTATTTGAATATCTTCACGCATCACAATATCAGATTTAGTATCATCTGTTGGTAATATTATGGAATTTTGTTCTTCTAGTCCTACAGCATATAATTCCTCAGAAGTATTAGTAGAGTGGCTAAATGCACCATAAGTAAATTCATCATTGGAAGTTTTACTTCCTACATTACAACCAATATTATTGAACTCCGTTAAAAATGTATTGGAAGAATTAGATGCTTTTGGTATAGGAATTGTCGGTGATTTAACTGATTTGAGCGGTGAAATTTTACTTCCTTCTTCACTTAATTCATCATTAAGACTCAAACTTAAATCAACATGTAAATCAATATCATTTTCTTCTGCTTCCATTGTGAATACTTCTGTAATAGGAAAAATTCTTGAAGATTGTTATCACATATTTTTACGTGTTTAATTACTTACCTTCAACATCATTATCAATTGAATTTATATCCTGTACATGATCACTAGTTGTAGGTCCAGGTGATAAGGAAATATGTTCTGAATCTGCAGAAAAATCTTCATCTAAAGGAGATAAAATTCCTTCTCCTTCATTACACATCCCACTTAAATCACAACTTCTACAAAGAAAAAAACATGAATATTTTAAGAAATTATTCATAATACAAATATTGTATTGATTTTAATTAATATAATTTCAAAAAGTTACACTTCTTATTAAAAGTATTAGAAAATTTTCCCTTATATAAGGATTAGTACATACTCTTTCTCTATGCAATGATTTTTATAA